TAGTCTGATTTAAAAAAAAAGTATATCCAATGAAAGATGTATATAAATACNTTAAAAAAAAAGTATATCCAATAAAAGTTGTATATAAATACTATTTCTAATGAAAAAATTGTATTGATCCATACATTTTTTAAAAAGTTATAGCACTTTAAAGTAAAAAATGTCAATTATAAAATCTCCCCCTGTGGGCAGAAAAAAGGTCACATTTACAAAAAAAATATACCAATTAATAGGTAAAGACATCAAGCATCTACATAAAAAAAATTATATTGATATGTTCATTTTTTAAAAAAGTTATAGCAATTTTAAGAAAAAAAAAATTGAAAATATTTCGAAAATTAGCTATTTTTAAATTATGAATTTTTTTGGAGGTTTCCCCCATTTACGGGGAACAAGGGAATTTTTTTCAATTTTTAAGGGTAATACCTTCGACTAGATACGATTTGTGATCTTTTGACGTATCGTTGAAAGAAATCCGTTCGGTGAGAACCGAGAAAAAGTGGTAACAGACACAAAAAAAACACATCATAGTAAAACCAATACCTTCTCAGCTTCACATCAAAGTTAAAATGAAAAACAATTAAATATTTCGCCGACTATTTAAGTAGATTCCATTCGATAAAAAAATTTACATTATACCAAACCTTAATATACTGTTATTAGGCTTCGCCTAGCTGGGGTTCCACCCAGGGGCGTCATTTGGGGAGGGTCAGGGTGTGCAACCACACCCCTTACTTTAAAAACAGTTCCAATTGGCCTGCATTAATAATGCGACAATTTTTTATACATCAATTCAAATTTCAAAAATATTGTATTTATTTATTAATATATTTAACGGGCTTACCCCTTTTTACAATATCAGATTATTTAACAATTTCATAAAATAATATCAGTATAAATACAATTCACAACGATTCAATAGAATATTTTAAATAATATATAAAAAAAATTACCGTTTTAAAGTACAAAATAAGAAAAAGGAAATGGTTAACAAGATAACATATGAAGAGTGAATGTGTCAAACGTTCTATGTGCCAAAAAAGTAAAAAATTGTTTTATTTCTGATTTATGTTCTATGTGCAATCACATACAATCTTGTATGTGTTTCAAATGTGAATTAAATTTTTTACTTGTACAAAATTGCATTCATAGACGGTATTCGATATGTGAGATATGCCCATGTTACCATTGTTTTTTGTGTTTTCTGAACAAATATGTTTTTGGCACATAGAACGTTTGACACATTCACTCTTCATATATTGGCACTATTTAAAATTCTTCTAATCGGTTCATTTTGTAAGTAATTTGTAGAACTAATTTGGATGAAGAAAGGAAAATAAGAACGAGAAATTCTCTGAGGAACTTTAAAATTAATTAACTGCAAAAGATACATCGAGTCAATAATACCATCCAGCAATTTATTTAAAAATTTAATACCAGCAGCAATTCTGCGATCCGCCAACGACGTCAAATTAAGTTTGCTTGCACTGGAGAATAATCATGAGGATCATACTGGATACCCAAAATAAATCCAACATGCCTCAAAAATCTCCGTTGCACCCTTTCAATCCGATGAAGAATTAAGTATAATTATAAACATATTTTGATTATTTTACGTCCTCAAAGTTAAGAAAAGTGACTTAAAATTTTTGAAAACTTGAAAATTTGTATAAAAAGTAGAACTTTTTCAACTTAACTTTTGAAAATGTTCCGATAATACAACCTTTTTTAAATATATGTTAAAATAAAGCTTGTTTTATGTACTAGAAGTTCAAAAAATAAAATTTGCACCGACAACTGTGTCACGACCCCACTGTGCTAGGTTGGGTTTTTTTTTGTTTACTTAAGTAGAAATATCTATTTTTATATGGCCTGATAAAATTTCAAAATGGCCTACTTGAAATTTTGCACACTCACAAAAAAATTTGAAATGACGCCCTTGGTTCCACCCCAAACCTGAAGTCCTACAAGCCTCACGAGCCTTCGGCGCATAAGCCTCTTTGGGCCATCCTCATAAATAAGAAACCGATTGCGGTAGAAGAATCTCGCTACGCGCGGGCACAATAAGTGTTTTGCAGGAAAAATAAATCAGAGTCATTGTAACATATAAATATTAAAAATTTAATTATTAAAATCAGGAAAATTCAAAAAGAAAATATAGTAAAATGTTTTGGGTATAAGTTTGAAGTTTATTAATGAGATATTCCCCTTGGACGTATTCAGACATTATTTTAGAAGAGTATTTATTTTTTTTTTACTTTATTAAACATGCTATAGAATTTTTTTTGCTAGAAATCAAAGTGATGATAAAAAAAAGATTATTTTTTAGAATTTGCCAAAAAAATGTTGATAGCTCTGGTTTAAGGGGAAAATTGTCCATGTCCCCCTTAAGTACGCCCTTGGTATATACAATAATTATTAATATTCTAATTATAACAGTTATATTAATATTATAGAATAATTACAAAAAAAATCGGCAGGTTATTTTTCCTGGGAATATGTAAAAAATAAATGTTGACAAGAATATTGGTTACTATGACTTGAAATTGAACAGTATAGTTGTCATTTATTAATCCCAATTTTTACGATAAAATCATAGACTTATACATCATATATGAGATAAATACGATTAATTATACTGTACTAGTCTGATAAAAAATGTACAAACTTATGTACTTATCCTGAAATTTAAATATAACATATAACATTCTTTGATAAAATATACAAAATATAGTGTTATGCACAAATGCAAAATTGTATCCTAATATAAAATCTGCATGAACATAAAAAAAATTTATAAAGCAAAAGTTTAAGCTAAAGATATATATAAAATTGATAAAATATATCAACAAATTCCTAATACATATTTAACATATATAACATATTTAAATATGTTATAGTTAATAGAATTAAATAGAACTCGATACAAAGTATCTGTATGCTTAATAAACTGAACATAATATATAAAAAAACAAAAAAAATATTAAAACGAAAAGATAGTTAATAAACTAAGAAAATCAATAACATATATTAAAAATGAATTGAATAAAAAATTAAATCGTCATAAAAATATATTTTCCGACCTTTGTTTTAATTTTCCCAGAGTATCGGACCGAGTAATTTGATTGAAAAATGCAGAAAATCCGAGCACGTTAAGTAATTTTTCCAGAATATTGTTTTTTTCTTATTCTATTATATAATAAGATTTTTAAAGTTAAAAGTCGGGTCGGAGTATAATGTATTCGTATTAATAGAGTTTATTATAAGTACATATATAAAAAGAATACAATATTAACCTTAAAATTGAGCCAATTATAGGATTTTTTTAATTAAAATTATATTTTTAATTTAAAACATATAATTGTAATATTATAAAATAACTAACACATAAAATATATTTGTATTAAAGAAAAAGTATCATGTCATTTTAAATTTAATAATAAATAATTAATATTTTTGTACAAGCTAAGAAAATTAAATTTGATTTTTCGTAGTTAAGAAAAAAAAAATCAAAAATACTTGTTTTTCATTTACACAGTGCTTACGTAATCAATTTGACATGTGCAATTAATACAACATTTTCTAAGAATATTTTTTTATCAGACTTTCAAAAAAAACAAGCATTTATGATTTATTAACTATTCGTTTATAATAACGAAGTTTATTTATAATTTCTTTCATTAAATTTAAAAATAACTATCATTTTATTCCTACTCATTGTAATTGCTTTGGTAATTTTTTGTAACAGAAGTGTTCATTTTTAATGATAACTTAAAAAAAAAAAACTGAAACATAACAAAATTTGTATTTTATATAATAGATATCTTATAAATTTTTTATATAGTATACTCTATTTGAAAAACTTAGTGAGAACCAAAGTATAAGATGAGTTTCAAAGAGACCACCTGTGCATAATAATAACATTTTTTCAACCTAATTTTCGACAATTTTCTGGATCGTCTGACAATTTTAACCAATATTAAATTCGATACATTAAGACATAATAAATATTTAATAAAACCAATCAATTGATAGTGTACTAGGTGAAACATATCAATTAGGAATAATACATACATTTTTTCATATTCTTTACTATTACTTTTTTTTTTGTAAATAAACCTGTCACAAGTAAAGGGTAGTGATTACTATCGGAAATACACTTAAGAATATTCCGTGAAAAGGTCCAAGATTAATTAAAGAATAAAATGAGCATATCATTTTTTAATGATTAAAATCACTATCATAAGAAACGCTTCAATACAATTCTGAAGATAATGTTTAATTTTAAAAAATTATTGGATTATTCCAAAAGTAACATGATCTCCTATTATCCTTATTTATATCCTGATTACAAGTTTTATGATTTATATGTGTAATATATAAATAAATATTTATAATAGCAATTTATATAGTATGAAATTAATATTTAATAATTTATTATTTTAATTATTACAGAAAAATTATAAAAATGTATAAAGTAGTTATTATTTATATAGCAAACGTATATAAAAGTTGAAAGTCTTGATGCAATAATTTAAAAAAATAAATTGTTTATTATGTATAAATAAATTTACTGTTCTACAAGGGAATTTCAACCCAGACAAAAATATATTTTTCTAAACCCAATTTTTTGTCAATTTCAAACTTCAATTAGAGTGTAGGAACCCCACTGCATACAGAGAAATGGTCCGATTTAAAAATAAGTATGTCGAATAAAAGAGGTATAGAAAATAGTATTTATCTAAATAGTAATTGTCTACTACCCGAGAGTGCCATCACTGACACACACACTATTAACAACTATATTGTTTCTCAATAAAGACTTATTTTCTGTTTAACTATTTGATGTTGTCTTTCATATTAAAAACACAACAAATTGGCGACGAGGACAACGTTTCTTAGATCATAATATCTAAATAAGTGATTTTATTAACTATTAAATAGAAATCATTAATTTTTATAAAAAAAAAGTGCAGTGAAAATTGCCATATTGAACCAAAATGATTGATACAAAACCAACGGTGAGTTTTAATCAAGTTATTGGTACTTCGGGTGCATTTGAACTGGGAATGAATATTACCATTTTCGAATCAAAATTAACAAATTTTTTTTTGAAAAATGGAATCGAAAATGAAGTACAAAAGAAAGCCATATTGCTACCGTTTGTCAATGAAGAAATTCATAAAATTTTATTTAGCTGAAGTGTATCTAGTGTAAGAATATTTATTTCTATATTCTTACCACTTATATTACACACGTTTTATTTCTATTTATTTGATTTGTAATACATATTAATTAACATAGAGGTAGATGCTGATGTGACAATTCTACTCGTCTGTAGCCCGGAGCTACTGACGTCGAACTAACAAAGGGCAGTTGTGTTTGAGTGGCCGTTATAAACATAGTTTTCAATATTATTACTTTCGTCTTATTTATATTATTTATAACCTTACTTGTTTTATTCAACGACCCGTCTATCGCCAATTGTCATCATAGCTAACCAACTCCGTCTCGTTTGGATATACCTACTAACCAACTGTACTAGGATTCAGGTCAGACGTATTGTACATTACATATAACTTATATTTACTGAATATCTAAAATATAACTTTACTTTGTCGTTGACATAAAATAATAGTCTACTTTTATTTAATAATCTATCCCCTGTAACTAAGGTATACGATTGCCTGTGTCTCCTTCAGGTAATTGAAACTCATTTAAGGAGATAGGGACGATATTTGGGCAGACGTTGGGTAGCTTCCGATTTTTGGTTTTGACCAGGATCCTCAACTATTAAACAAGCCCATAACACTAGCACACCAGGCACTCAAACATACAGCACATTGTTAAAGCTTCTAAATCTAATTCTACAAGCCAGTTAAATCATACTTAGATGCTAGGCATACATTTACCTGTCAAAACAACGTACTGATGAAACGGTAGCATAATGGGATGATCGTTTCAATTATATGTATCGAAATGCAAATTCTCGTTAGAATTAACCACTGTTATGTGAGATATATTCGTTGCAGGAATGAGTCCTAGAAGAATACAAAACTGGCTAATAAAAGAAGACGCATCTGATCTAAAATCTACAGATGCGAATCTAATGGACATTGCGACTACTAAAGAAGCTACCATGAGAGAAAAAATACTAGGAAACTGCATGAATCGGAACTCAACTTCACCAAAATAAATAGGTCAATTGTTAACTATCGTATAAACCAAAGTGTGGAGTATGTGGCGGATCAAACCATTTACAAAGAGACTGTGGATACAAGGATTACAGTTGCAACATATGCAATTCAAAAGGTCATTTAAAATTATGATAACCGTTCATGCACTAAATTTTTAACTGAAAACTTTAATGAAACAGTAGACGATCAGGCTGTTGCGTACAACTTGTCTGATACATTTTTCAATTTGATAGAAACTAATTCTCAAAATAGAATTAAACCATTTACAACTAATTTATTAATATATAATGTAGATGTTTAGTTGGAAATAGAAACAGAATCTTTACATAGTGTAATTTCAAATAAAATGTATTCTGCTCTTTTCAGTAATATCACAATGTAAGAAATGAAATTTCACTTTCTGATTATGTCAGAAACAACATAAATAGGTAAAATAAAAGTAAATGCGAAATATTTAGAAAAAGAATTAAAATGTGCATATACGTGATAAAAAAAGGTGGGCTTTTACTGATAGGCAGAAATGACTAAAACAAAATAAATTATTCACCCATTTACAATAATTTGGAAGTAGGTAATAATCTGAATAATATATTAAACTCATACGAAGATCTATTTAGCTGACTTTCTAGCCAGGAAAGGAGCAGAGAACACCTATGTTGGACCGGAACCAGTGGTAGGGCTCACTGAGCAATCGCTCAAAGCGTTACCCAAGAATTGGTGCAGAGAACAACACAGGAAAATCTGGAAGTACTTGGTAGTACCTAGACAATCTAAAATGTTTATCAAGACCCCTGGTTTATTGCTGGGTGATCTTAATAGCATGACTAGACATCAAATAAGCACCCTGACTGGTCTACTGACAGGACATGGTCACCTGCTTAAGCATCTTAACGCAATGGGGGTATCGGAATCACCATTGTGTAGGAAGTGTGGAGTAGAAGAGGAAGACTCATTTCACATCATGTGCGAATGTGAAGCCTTGTCCACACTAAGATCAAACTACTTGAATAAACCATTTCCTGAAAAAGAGGATATTAAAAACCTAAAACCCAGAGAGATACTTAATTTCGCCAGAAAGACAGGACTCTTTGGTCATCTTTAGAGGTGACTTTATGGTTGGTAATGTATTAACACTTTGGTGATAACACTTAGGTGGGTAAACCGAATCAAAACAATTCGGTATGAGGTGCGCACAATGGACCAACAGGTCTGAGTGCATGGGCATTATGTCCACCTCAATAATAACTAAAACTAAAAACTAAGATCTATTTAAAAACGAAATAGGCACTTTTAACAAATATGAAATTTCACTCAATATAAAAAAGGATTCGTTTCCAAAATTTTTAAACCGAGATCAATTCCTCTAGCTCTTAAAAATAAAATAGAAACGGAAATCGATCATTTAGTTAAAAGCTAAATACTATTTTTGCTTAATTATAGTGAATGGGTCATACCAATAGTTCCAATACTAAAATCCGACTGTACAGTTAGAATCTGTGGTGATTTTAAAATTACGATCAATCCTGTGTTAAAAGGTACAGAATATCCCCTGCCCAATATTGAACACTTTTATGCAAATATAAGTGGCTCCAAATATTTTTCGAAAATAGATCTCCCAGACGCTTACCAAGAAATGATTATCAAAAAATCTGATCGTAAGTACACCACAATAAATACACACAAAGATCTTTTCTGTTATACTAGAAGTCCGGTTGGAATAAAATCGTCAGCGGGTGAATTCCAAAAAGCTATGGAAATTTCCACAGCAAGAATTAATGGTTATTTAATTAATTAATTGGGGTATTTACGCAGCAAATCGTTTAAAACGATGGGCATATGTATTATCATCATTCGACTTTGACATTAAGTACATTAATTCGGAAAAAAATATAGCTGATTTTCTTTCGAGAATTAAAATCTACTATCCTAATAGCAATAACGTAGACGATGACGACAGCATTCATTTAAATTTTATTCATGAAAATTCACCGTTCCCATTAGACTGGTCCAAAATTAAAATTGAAATAAATAGAGATCAAATTACGTCAAGAGTCTTACATGCGACAAAAACAGATGAATGGAGTGACGATTTTACAATTAACGAGTTAAAACCGTATCTCATTCGCAAAAATGAAATATCTTTGGAACAAGGGTATTTATTGTGGGGCTATCGTGTTATAATTCCGCAAAAATTTAAAAAAAATATCCTAGCTGAACTACACTTGTGTCACATAGGTATGACCAGTATGAAAGGCTTAGCACGACAATATTTTTGGTGGGCAACAATTGACAAGGACATTGAAAATAAGGTTCGTGATTGTTATGAATGTATAAACGTTAGGCCAAATCCACCAAAATCAACAATTACTCCGTGGAGATGGCCTCAAAGGCCGTGGACTAGGGTGCATTGTGATTATTTAGGACCGCACAGAAATAAAATTTTTTTGATATTTGTAGATGCAACTTCAAAATAGTTAGAGGCATTCCGGGTTAATTCCATGACTGCGCAAACTGTTATTACGAAATTTTCAGAGTTGATCGCTCGTTTTGGAATTCCGCATACAATAACAACTGACGGTGCGAAATGTTTTAGTGGCATTGAATTTAAAAACTACTGTAAAAAATTATGTATTAGATATTTAATGGGAGCACCATTCCATCCTGCGTCAAATGGTTGCGCTGAATCAAGTGTCAAACTCGTTAAACAATTCATAAAAAAATGCTCGTTCTTTACAAACCAGTTAAACAAATTTTTGCTGATGCATAGTTACACATCGCATACAACAACACACGAGACGCCAGCTAAGTTAATGTTAGGGTATTTTACTAGAACAATATTTGATTTACTAATACCCAGCACTTATGAGGTAGTAGTAGATAGTCAAATTTTATTTATTTATATGTTAGTATTTATTTAAAATATAAATGTATTATAATTTTATAAGGAAAGAGGTGTTACGTATTGATAAATATTATATAAATTAGTAGTAGGGATTATTCACTACTCGCGAGTGCCATCACTGACAAACACACTATTAACAATTATATTGTTTCTCAATAAAGACTTATTTTCTGTTTAACTATTTGATGTTGTCTTTCATATTAAAAACGCAACAGATAGAAAATTTATTCATACTTTTTTTTGAAAATAATTTTGACATAAAAAAAAAAAGAGAGAGTTATTAAGATTATAATATTTTGTCATGAAAAATGTATTATTTATTATATGGAAAGGAATGATATGGTCATAATGAAAAGTAAAAGTAGCAGCAAGTGTTAAATATATAATTAGCGATGATTTATCATGAATAAGAGAGATAGGATATAGGGATAAAATAGAATCAATGAGTTAGTTAAATTTGTTTGGTTACAAGGTGGAAAAAAAAAATATACAGTGTATGATCATTTATGGATCTTTATGTTAAAATAAATTGACTTCATAGGTTTGTCGTAAAATGTAAAGTGACGGAAAATTATACATGGATGACACCAACTCGAATAATGTTAATTCTATTATGAAATGTGCAGTTGTTCTAGAGGAGGATTTTATGACTCTTGATATTTTTTATCGATTGTAGTATATGTATGATACAATGTGTGTTTGCGTTATATGCAATTGTCCGATTGTTTGACGCCAAGCTTTACTAGCTAAATTATTTTTTATATGGATTCTAAATGTAAGTAAAGCATTTACGTTAAACACATACAGTTGCGATTAGAATGATGATAAAATAGTTGTTAAGAATATTTTTTTTTAATTATGTACGTTTAAAAGTTAATTCTATTATTCCCGCGATAAAAATTATTCATGACTTATTTTAAATCTATCTTTAATATTTGTATGATATGCTTAGAAATATAATTTGTTACCTTGTGTCCAGCTAGCTTAATCGTTTGTTGTAAAAAAAAATATATAATAAGAGCACTGACTTTAATCTACTTATTTATTTTTTAATCTTATAACAATTATTAAACTTGAAATATTACTTCACTTAAATTCCTTTCTACACTTGGTATCTGATTATATATGTTCTTTTATACTTTAAAATTAAAATTTATAGAACCGGATAGATTATGAGAACCAATCCCTAGTGACGAGTCACAAATTATTGTTTTACCAATAATTTCAACCACTTGATGTGCTTGGGTAATGACTTCAATAAACCATCAGTATCTTGTGCAATAAATCAAACACTTATCTATCTAAATTTAAGATACACTCTACGATCTCCTTAGTGACATGTCACAAACTATTGTTTTACCAACAGTTTTAACTACTAGATGTGCTAAGGTAGATTTTTGAAATGCACTTATTTGATAGACAATCCAGTTAAAGAATTAAAAAGAATTCTTAATTGGAACAACTCACAAAATACAAAATCAAAAAGTTAATTGTCTTATTAATTCTTAAAAATTTAAAACTAAAAATAAAAAAAAAGATTAATTTATTATTTTTTTAATTACATTACTTATGAAAGATGTAGATGAAAAACACCAAATGTGAAAAAGTTTCTAAGTCCTAGAGAGCACAATCGCGAAACAGTCTGGTGCAGAGACGCTTCATGACCAGATTTTTAAAAATACTAAGGTGACGAATGAGCCAGAAATTGTTCTTTTATAGGCCAATTTTGAGGGGAAAATTTATATTTTATATTTTAATTGATAAATGTTTCTTATTGGTTAGTCAATTAAACATAAAGGGACACGTGCGCAACCTATTATTCTACTATTTTAAGTTAATGTTACATACAGGTATTGGTGTTTTATATCTAACATCTCCCATAATAATGTGTTTTATTAGAAAAATCATCATTATAAAAATATAAATAAAATAAAATTATAAGTGCTAAATATCTATTACAATTTCATTGATGATATGTATGGATCACTTGATACTAATAGCATATGCATCAAATCTTCATTAGTATTATACCTCGAACTTTTTCTAGTGTGGTAAAGTCTTATTTAATGGATTATGTATTAATCGAATTATAATTTCTTGATTTTCGACTACAGTATTAATTAATTATTAAAATTTAACATGTTTATAGAATTAGAAATATAAAAGCTATATATTAATTTTAATACTAACAAAAATATTCATTAACATACTAAATATGTTTAGTTTAAGACGATTACATGACTGAAAAACGGATAACACACCGTGATTTGTTCGAACTCGTGCGACAAAAGTGTTCGATGCAATGTGTGGGTGTCCTAAATTTAATGGTTGTGCTCTTACATGAAAGGTATAGTGGATTGAAGTGGAATGATGTATACATCAAATCCATATTTGTCAATTCCAAAACGATTGTCGAAAATGAAATAAATAACATAAACAATTCAATATCAGAAATCGAAATAAATGAAAGCTAATTGTAAATAAAAAATGTACGTATTTGTATAATCTTTTTAGCCTTATGCACAGCTGTTTTTGTCCGCCGCAAAAAAAATTATATTTTTAAAATCTAGAATACTTGCTCTACATTATCTATGCATCGATACTTGGGTAAAATAGGATAATTTTTAGTATTGTACTTTTTAATTTCAAAAACGAATCAAAAAATACTCTATTTTATTAAAATGATCACTACTTAGTAAAAAAAAAATGTTTTTACGAATTTTTTTTTTATTATCTGTGGCTTTTACTTTTAATAAAATAAAAAACAATTCGAAAAAAATAATTTTTAACTTGTTAAAAAAGTTGACAACGAAAAACCATTTTTATGTTAAAATAATCGTAATACAACCAAATCTATACTATAAATAACGACCGGATGAACATGTGACCTTGAAATTTAATATTTAGTCTAAGCAATATACTAGAATTGTATTTTTCATAAATATTTTAATATTATGAGTACATTTTTAAATGGGACTTATGAGCGCCTAAAATTCGCTTTCAGACCACCTTATAGTGCTGAAAGACCAGCAAAATAGGAAATAACGGTAACACTTCTCCGCTTATCACAATATTTATTATGCTAGGTATGTGTATAGGACTCTTCTTGATCTGGCGCTTGACTGCAAGCATGCTTTTTGTGCTGTAATTTGTAAATTTGACACAAATTTTTTATTTTTTTTTATTTTGAATCCTATACCTCGCTCAAACGCTCCTGTAATTTAATTCCGGGGCCCGCAAACTGATATCCTGGCACGTGAGCTTCGAACGAAAGACTGTTAATTACTGAGTTTACAATACCGGAACCCCTTTTTCGTCGAACACCACAACGTCTTTGCTCTTTTATTTTTACTTTTAATAGTATATTTTTATATGAACGAAACAAAAGATTACAAAATTCAATGAACTATAACATTTTCAGCAACATATGTGGTCAGCTAAACTGTGAAAAAAGCAATTTAATTTTTACACTTTGTGCGATTCGAATGGTTTGAGATTCGAGAACGTATATGTATATATATCCAAAGTCGTTGGATCAATTCAAATATTAATTTTTGATTAAAGTGTTGAAAGGAATCGAAAGAAATCCGTTGTTCACATTTGAAAATAGTGATGATGTACCAATCATGGACTTAGTTCTACCCAATTTGGTGTTTATTTTTGTCGATGTGGTCATGGAAATATAGAACGTAATGTGCGATTATATCGCACGCGGTCGACATAAAAGGGTTGGTGTGTTTTTCCTCTCACAAACGCTGTCTTGCAAACAAAAAAAAACAAAAAAACAAATGTTACAAGATAATGTAAATATGGTGGTGTTGTTTCGACAAGTCAGAGTCAATCTGTGACACGCATACGATGAATACGTGTGTTGTGATATGAAATTTAACATATTCAAAGAATTTTGCAGACATTGTTAGGAAAACGATAAATACGATTTCGCGGTAATATTTACGGATTTCGCAAGTGACAGTGGTTGATAGGTTTGAAACGTATGTAACAATATGAATGCCTAAAATAATAATAAACTTTAAATGTTATTCTCATATTTTGCAATTTCATGTCTTAATGCCATTAATATTAAAATTAAATGTTACAAACACGAACTGCCTTCAGGTAATGACTAATGGTAGTTCCGGGATATCTCATAATAAGGTTGATGACGTAGAAATAATCCACAAGATCATAAAAAAACGGTACTTATTAGTAATAGTAACCAACTATTCAATTAAGTATTGTACTAAAAATTAATTCAAACACTGGGCTTCAAAATAACAGTTGTAGTAGGGAAACTAACTTCAATAATAATTTCAATTACCTTCAATTGTGTAAAAAAGTGAGAAGATATCATTGTAAAAATTGTTATCATAAAATAGTTATCAAAATTATACCGGCACTACTATTAGTACCATAGGCATAATATATCTATAATACTAACATATTAATATTATTAATTTCATTTGCATTATAAATTTAAACAGAATCAAATTCTTATAAAGCTGATTAAAATTATGATATTTAGTAATGATGAAGCAATTTTTATTAAAGAAAAAAATGATTACATAATAGTTAGAGAGACATGTAAACATAACAAAAAATAATTGAACACAATATTTTAAAATTTTCACTGAATTATTGTCCTTTTACCTTTTCAAATATTTCTGATTTTCATCATTTTTTTTAAAATAATATTTTCATATTGTGATTCTTAAACAATTTAAAAAAAATAATCTTATATTATGACAGACTTTCAGTTATAATAAATCGTAAAGTGTAATATTATATTATCACTTGTAATATTAAAATATTAAATTATGTTATCTTTTGTACATGTATGTCATAAATTATGAATTCACAAAATCACCAAAACAGGGTTCCCTTATTTAAAACATAAAATAATCAATAAATTAGGCAATTAAATCTGATTATCGTACAGATTCAAAGTAACGCCTATGTGTGGGTTCTCAATTAGGTCCAGTCAATCACATTTAACTATTAATTAAGATCTACAGTTTCTAAGAACACACTAGGGATCGCTACACGGCCCTCGTCTACTATAAAAACCCATTTTTTCCTATTAAAATCAGTTCTTTCGGCGATTTTAAAATACACAAAATCTGCGACACTCTACTCAAGATTCTTATTCTCTGGGACTTTTATTTATATTTAATTTGGACTTGGAATATTTTCTCAAGCTAAATGACACTTAGAAATTTTAAAGTGAATTTTGTTTTGGTGAATCTTTTAATTTAATTTAATTTGTTCATTAAATAACAATGTTTTATTTTATCGTGGAAATAAATGTCAATTAATATGTTAAACTTCAAACATTTTTTTTTTTAATTATTTTTTATATATAATAAACCCGAATCAACTCTAATTTTCTCAGTTAATGGTAAATATTTATTATAAGACTAAGTGTGTTGCAACTCTATACTTATTGGGTAGCTAATCATTTTTGGTTTAATGTCTTTGTTCTAACGAACATGGTGCCGGCAGACAGCACAGAGAAACTTACGAATATATTTTTTAATGTTTAATTTTTGTCATAGATATTAATATTTTTGAATCTTGTTTTGTCCAGGTCAGAGGAATATTTAAAAAATATTAGTGTCAATCTCTCAATAAAATATAATTTCTTAAGAAATATACTCATTCTACAAAGTCAAATAAGGATACATTATTTGATTATAATAATTATAATTATTATAAAAAACATAGAGTGTATAGAATCTCTTGCATATAATAATACAGCCATAGATTTTGTGTTTCGCATTATTTATAATTAAACGATTTATTCTCAAATGGTCATATTTACTGTCGAACTACTATTCGTTCCCCATAGCTACCGCCCTTTCTTTTTTCTTTACCTTTTTGAGTCATTCCGTCCATTTCATTTTACATAATAATTATCTTTCTAAACCTATTTTCTTTCTATCTAATCTGTATTTTCTCTCTTTTTTTTTTCTTTTTGGTTTATTACAAAAGGTTTATAAATATATATTTTAAAAATAATTAGAATTGTTTATTGTTAAATATTTGTTAAAATAAATCGAAACATACAGATAAACAAATATTTTCAGTGAATCATACATATAGACAAACAATTTCTAATATAAATTATTCGTTAGCAATAATAATGAATTTTAATACGAATTATATTTTTAACTATACTAAGACATTGAAATTAAGTGTTGATATAAAATATAAAAAATCTATTAGTACATTCCATTTTAATTTGTGTTACTGTTTCTTGGCACATAATTCATAGAAAATTTTCGATACTCGTTAGACCTCTTTACAATTTTTTTGTACCTTTCCAGATTATAGAAATCATGCATAGTGTATGGTAGAACAAAATTAGTTGGATAATATGATTGATTAACTGTAAAAATGTTTGATTGATTTATTAATTTTAGTGACTATAAAAATTTATTCTGCTAATATAGATAATATACAAAAATCACTTGGATTTTCTCTACACAATGGACAATTCAACTGGTCATTAAGCATACTTTTTTCACAATCATAACAATATCTGTGTCCACATGTAGTTATAGTCATACAATATGGATTTTTTTCACAAGAACTGCATTTAGAAAGATCTATGATGAGAAACCATACATATTTTATTTCAATATAAAATTAAAACAAAACAAATAACTAAATAAATTAAATAAATCAACTAATCCGGAACATTTTATATGATTTGATTAAAGATGATTCATTATTCCGTCTTCACAATTTAAATTTATTGAGAAAAATAAAAACCTTTTGAATCCCATTCAATAGTCGGATGCTAGTCTAACTTATTAGTTTTTTCATCAGCTTCATTGGTATCTGTAAACATTATAATTTCATTAATTGTTGAAGTACAATTTATCGTTATTTCAAATACTGTAATATGCATAAACAATGCGAATTGATATTAATTCAAATTGTATTATTTTTCTTCCAATATTTCGATTAATATATTTTTATTTCCAATTTTTCATTAAATAATATTATCACAAAAAATAGTCTAATGCAATAATATTTATCCATGAAAACTATTTAAATTTTAATATTTTTTAATTTAACTTAATTTGCTTATCAATTACTAGGTATCACCCCAGACCCATAGCCTTCCAGACCTCACAGGTCTACAGCAACTTAAAATGATAGTTGGTGTTGGATTAAGAATTTCATAATTAAGTCAAACTACAATAAATTTATTATTGCATTAAAAATTGAGATAAAATATATTACAAATTCAATACCCTAAAATAATACAGATAATTAAAAAAAAATTCTATAATATAATATCACAATGTCTTATTAATAATATAAATACAAAAAAATAAGATAAAAATGTTCTTCAAAATTATACTTAATAATAACCAAATAATTATTATTTAGCACAGGAGATATGTAAAAAAAACTTTACAATCGATAAATTGAAATTTGTATTACAATGTTATTTGTTTCTGTTAACACGGACAAAAACCAACGGATTTCAAAAAATTTTTTAGAGTACCTTTGAAATATTTATTGACAAACCTGGTAAAGATTTAAGATTTTAATTCGTAAAACGATGATTATAATTAACGTTTTCTTAAAAAATGCTAATATTTTTGATCGCTCACAGAGTGTTAATGTTATCATATATGAATATATATGGAAAATGCTATCATATTCGCAAATAATTTTCCCTGAATAATGTCGCAGAGCTTTTTTATTAAAAAAAAAAAAAAGAAATTAAATTGTTAAGTAATTTTTTTAACTCTACAACATGTACTCTATAGTATGAAGTTAAATAAATTTTTTTTTATCCCCTCAGGGATAAAAATGTTTATTTATAATTTTTTTAAATGGGAACCACTATTTTTGATTTAATAATATGATAGAAAAAAGATTACAAACAATTTTGTTCTTATAATTTTTTTTATCCAAACAACCGTTTACGTTTTATAATTGTTTAAAGATTTTAACTTCCAGAAAAAATATTGCCATTTATTACGTTTCATAATATCGGTGGCAGTGCAACAGGTATTTTTGTTAGATCCTTTAGTCTTACAAAACCATAGACTTAGCTATTAATAATACACCGAAAACCCGGTTTGAATCTATTATTATCACTCATTTAGTGCGTAGTAAATTTTTATAGCTAATTTACCTGCCATAGCTTGATCAATAAAATTTGGTTATGCAACAGCAAATAAAAATAATGACTTCTGTATTTAATACAGTTAAATGACAATAGAAATTTGGCCTAAAATTACTTAACTTTAACAAGCTGTAATGGACGAACGGTTAATCGGATAAAAAAAATTATAAGAACAAAATTGTTTGTAATATTTTTTTTTATCATATTATAAAGTTAAAAATAAAGGTTCCCATTTTAGAAAATTATAAATATGGATTTTTATCCTTGAAGGGACGAAAAAATTATGGTTTGACTACATATTTTTGTAGAGTTTTTTGAACTTAATGTTTTTTCTCTATAATAAAATTTCAAATTCTCAATATTTTCTAAGAAAATGAGTGTCTTACTAGATTTTGATCACCCTGTATGTCATACGACCGAATACAAATACAGGTAGCTTATTGTTTCTATACGACGTTGCTATTGACAGAGATGAATATCAAGATAGTTTTAAGATAGAGCATTGCAACTGAAGGCATAAATTAAAAATACAAATCTTTCGAATATATGAAAAATTTCTATTTCTTGTCCTATATTATAATTGACAATAAATTGCATATCTATGAAAATACCAGTTATAAAAAAATCCGTTAGCTACCAGTCAGTATAAATCATTGTACTTCTTTTATGTGTTTTAACACAACAATTCAAAACTTTAGAGTGTTATATGTAATAAATGAATTAAGTTACATTAAATATTCAAACGGTATTTGTTATTGAAAAATTATCTCTTAGTATTATTCTAAGAGTAACTGAGTGGGTTATGATAAATGAATCACTCTGTATAAGCTCGGTAATGTACGAAAATTAAATGAAAGTCTAAAATTTAAAAAAAAATAGACTAAAATAAATAGATTTATCGATAACCGGTTTTACAAATTCACTTTTATAATTGATAATTTTGTATTAATGTAGTTTAAGAAAAGTGTGCTACGTTGTAGTGTTTTTGTCGCTATTATATCAGCGTAAAAATATTTTGATTAATTATTACTCTGCTTGTTTGAAAACTTAAAAATCTTGTCTAAATATTTAAAATTTAGTTAATATTTAAAAATAAGCCATTTTTTTATCATCTATTTTATTTGATAACAAAGACACAATTATAGTATCTTAATTGAATTCCAATTATTATCTCTCAAAATCACTCAAAAAATATATATATTTTTTTTTAATTCATAATTTATTATGATTTTTTTAATAGATTTCAATACAGAAGTATTATTATAGCTTAACGATTAAAATAAAACTATACAATGGAAACTAAGACTATACAATAAGAACTAAGACTATACAAAGGAAGAAAAAAAATATTGTTATTAAACACAATTAAACATATCGTTAAATTAATAAATTAAACATACTCAAAATACTAAAAAAGAAAGAACAAAATAGACCTAGGATATTAAATTACCCACAGAAAAATATTATATAACGTAGCCAGCTGAATGAATGAAGGAAATTATTTGTATAATTATTGATGAGGATTCTGTATTAAGGATATTAAAACTCTTAATGGGTGAAATATTAAGGGAGGACAGGAAATTGAACAAGAGTAAACGGTTATGTTGTAAAGCTGGGCAATCAAATAGTAAATGAGGAAAATTAAATGGGACTTTATCATGTTTGGGGTAGAAGGGGGAACGGTTTAGTGTCATGTTAAAGGCATAACTAGGTAACCGATTATGACCAAATCTAAGACGGGAAAAAGAGGTAATATAGAAACGGGACAGAGGGAGGTTGTAAAACTAAGGATGTTTAGGAATAGTTGGAACTATAGATTTATGCCAGTTAGCTAAAGAGAAATTTGACCATTTATCTTGCCATGCTTATATAATAGTTAGATGAATAGAGGAAAGGAGATTGGAAAAGGTTATTTTTATGATAGGTGGTCGGTTGAAGGAGTTAGTCAGTTTGTCTAGATGGTCTGCTATCTCATTGCCATAGATTCCAACATGACTAAGGCACTATAAAAATTCAACATTAATGTCCATTAAATAGAGACTATAAATTATAAAAAATATAAAAAAATACTAATATTTTTTCGATATATTTTTATGAAAAAATATTATTAAAAAATAAAAAATTACAATTCCCAAGAAATCTCATTGTATAGTTTATACAGAATATTAAGTAAGTATAGAAACAGGTCAATTGTTACAAACAATAAAAATAATAAAAACCTGTATCCTTACTTACTGAGCACTCTATATATGTAACTGGAGTATTGATATAAATTGAGTATTCTCTAAAACTTATTTTCGGTCTATCACTTTACATTTTTAAGTGAAAACATAGATTTATCTAAAAATATTCTAAATAATACATCAATCCTTGAAAATTTATGTTAAAAATTACAATCTCGTGTCATTATTGACAATGTATTTTCAAATTGATACAAAGTTCTTATAATTATTGAATATTATCTATTTTGAATTAATGTTGTGGTACAGTAAAAAACTTAAATTAAAACTGTTAAATACTTACCAATTTTTTTTTTCATTGGCATAACTCAAAGGAGAACAAATTGTAAATAGTAACGTAAAGAAAATTTTAGTTGAAAAAAACATGTTTTTGGGGCAATTGAAAAAAATTGTTCTTTGTGTAATTTCAATAAAATTTACGTATTAAACCATCCTTTATATAATTAAAAAATTGGGTAACATAATTCATTTTGAATAGTATAATATTCATTAAATTCAATGCATTATTTATTTGTATTAGCCCTAATAATAAAGATTATAATATAATAGAATAATAAATAAAAGTTAAGTTCAATTACCTTGAACTACGTCATTTAACAAGTATAACATATTTTTTTTTATATTTTTTCATTTAATATGGTTATAATATACAAAATCAATAATTATAACAATTAAATTAAATATAAATCAATTACACTTAAAAAAAAAAAAATGATTAATAATACTCTGAGTCATAACTATTACCAGTTAAACTTTTTCTTGTATAGTCATCATCATTAACAATACCTATATATATGTTTTTATATTTTGATAGTACAAATTAATCACTTATGTACTAAATTACATTCATGAAAAATAAACTATTACATTGCTTATGTCTATTTTCGAAATATAGGAGGTAAAAATAAGAATTATTAAAAGCCAAAAAATAGTTCTTTTGACACTGTAGTAATTAGATGAGGAAGTATTGAATTACGTCGATTTTAGTATAATATAAGCTTTACAATAGTAGTAAGCAATTTTTGAACTCTTAAGCAATATAATAATTCCATATAAAAGGGAAATGCAGGGTAAGCAAATTAATAATGGTGGGAAAAAGAATATAAAAGGGAAACATGAAAAGTATAGGAGGATGAGACAGGACGATACTGAGCGAGACGAGACTGGACGTTTTGGTCGAAGAAACGTCGAGTTACGGGTTAGGTCGTTGATGTAAGAATAACTTTATATTCTTTTTTTATAAGATTTAATTAATTTTTGTGTTCAATTATTATATTATATTTGACTTTGTGTTTGATACATTTCGTAAATAAAATAACTATTTAAAAATTTGGACTTAGCGCAAATATTTTATATTCACGGTGATCTCGAAATTGTGTGTGTGTGTGCGGCTAGAGTCTAGGTTGGACTGCTAGTCCTTTAGTCAATCTTGATGATTAGTGAACGAGCTGGCTAGTGTTTGGGCTTAACCGTCCTTTAGTGGGTATAGTAAAAAGGTAGTTGTGCTGGTGGCTGACAAGGAGCCACCCTTCAGTCTGCTACTTTTGAGCTAGACTGTGCTGACGGGTCTAAACTCTACCCCTTTAGTAGTCCACTAATTAGAGAGATTGGGGCTGATCAGTTTATCCAACGGGAGGACTCGAGAAGAGCTCGGACGACGAACTCGTCGTCAATATATATATACATAAAACTTTAGTAAACCTTTGTGTCTACGTTGGGGCACTACCGACGTACGACAACACTTACAATCTATTGCTCTTAAAATTCTATTAGCGTTAATGCACGATACTTAGGAAAATTATGTAAAATATATGTCGTAATATGCTCTATGCTTGAATTATGCATCTTAAATTTATCAATAAAAGTTTATAATCTGTATTTAATATTACTTGTATACAAACAAATAATTAATTTATCTGTCATAACATATACACTATTGTGCACCAGATATTATATATGTATTTTAGGGTGCTCTTATTCTATAAACTTACATTGATCGATTTCATTAAACGCCAATTTTTTTTCATTATTATATGAAAGTCATTTGGGTAAAATTTGATTTTGATAACTTACCGCCTTCAGATGCCAAATCGGGGTTGAAAATTTAATTAAAAGGGTAATTTTTCAATTTTCGATCATTATTTCTAAAACTAACAATCCTAGCGTAAAAATGTATAGAGTATAAATTATAGATTGTAATATTTTCTTTGAAAAAAATGTTTACAAAAATTATTTTTATTTGCTCATAAATAAATTATAAAATAAAAAAAAAAATTGCTCAAATTCACTTATTTAACATAAATCATTCGTAACTTTCAAAATAATCACTTTACAACAAAATGATTTGTATAAAAAATATGTAAAATTAAATTTTCTAGAATATTAGTCTTATGTGTAATTATAGTCAGATGTATACTTTATATTATTTATACTAAAATTTGTTATAATTCAAAAATATAAGCAATAATTTATAAAATAAAAATAATGAAAATGAATAATGGAGGCTTGGATTTTTGTATATGGTGAGAACCTGATGTTGTGGTTCTATCGGGGTCGTATGGTTCGAGGGTTTAGAACAATAAAGACAAGTAGATATGAAGTAATAAATGTATGTCCTCTTTATTGAGGAATATAAGCTAATAAATTTGTAAACATCTTTAATAGGACACTGAGGTAACGGGGCGGTAATCCGACCCTCGAGACCCTGTAATGTGTATATGTAGTAGGTGTGAACAAACTAGCAAAATTACTCTTGATATTAAAAGGAGATTATAGATCTATTGCATTATCGTTCTTTATTCAGATTATTAACTCTAAACAAATGGGATAATATAAATTGACTTACCTTAGTAATCTACAGGGTACGTTCCATAAGTAATGCGTCGCATTTTTTTCTGAAGCGACTATTCGTCCGATCGACTCGCTCTAAGCGGGAGTCGATGGAGGGGGAAGTTAGCTACGCATCGCCGCCAAGAGCAGTTCGCTCTGTGATCTTGGAGCGTTTTAGTGACGCTCTGCGCGAGCACCTCGTCGTGGTTACGATGGAGAAAAGTTTAGAACAAAGATACGTGATAAAGTTTTGTGTGAAACTGAAGAAGACGCCGCTCGAGACTTACGGAATGCTTGCGGAGGCTTACGGGGATGCTTACCTGTCAAGATCGCAGTCGAACCGGTGGCACAAGAAGTTTACAGAAGGTCGAAAAGAGGTCGCCGACGAACACCGCGAAGGACGCCCGTCATCGTCGCGCTGTGACGAAAATGCCGCTCGTGTGCGAAAATTACTAAACACTGATCGCCGAATGAGTTTGCAAATGTTGGCAGACGCATTAGACATTCCTAAAACCTCCGTTTACCGCATTTTTACGGAAGATTTTCAAATGCGCAAGGTTTGCGCGAAACTCGTACCGAAGATTTTGACTGACGATCAGAAGCAAAATCGTGTGCTGTTGGGTCAAGAACTCAACGATCTCACTGACGCTGATCCCAGTTTTCTCGATAACGTCATCACGGGAGACGAAACTTGGGTTTTCAAATATGATCCTGAGACCAAGCGCCAAAGTTCGGAGTGGCACACCGATGAGTCGCCGCGTCCGAAGAAGGCCAGGATGAGCAAGTCGCGGGTAAAATCGATGTTGATTGGGTTCTTCGACAAAAAGGGGGTAGTGCATAAGGAGTTTGTGCCAGCTGGACAGACTGTAACCGGTCAGTTTTACAAAGAAGTGCTTATTCGACTGAACAACAGAGTGACGCGCGTCCGAAAGGAGATCAGCAAGAACTGGCGGCTGCATTACGACAACGCGCCTTCACACACCTCGTTCGTTGTCACCAGCTACCTGACCAGGATCGGTGTCGCAACGGTGCCCCAGCCTCCTTACAATCCCGACCTGGCCCCCTGTGACTTTTTTTTATTCCCCCGAATGAAAAGAGACTTGAAAGGAACCCGTTTTTCAACGATAGAGGACGTCCAATCTACCACGACGAGGGTTCTTGACAGCATCCCGGTTGAGGAGTGGCAGGACGCGTACGCTGCATGGAAATCTCGCTGGATTAAGTGTATTAATGCTGAAGGACAGTACTTAGAAGAATATTAAGTAATTGTACCATTTCGTTCAATAAATTTCTTTAAAAAAAATGCAACGCATTACTTATGGAACGTACTCTGTATAATGTCCAAGAAGATAAATGAAGTATTTACCAGAAATGCCAATTTTTACTCAATATTATTTATTTATGGTAATAATGTCTTTATAGAATGAAATAAATTTTAAACGTATGCACAGTAAAATAACTCAAACGACAACACGGGACCGTGTTCAAAATGCAAAAGCAAAAAAACGAACTCACTTGCTTCTCAATGGATATCAGTGCTTTTTATAGTACTAAAGAGGTACCTCCATATCCAGGGATATTGCCGTTTGTACCATTTATTTTGTTAGAGTCAATTTAAGCTGTTTTTTTAATTAGTAACATTTTTAATGAATAAATACCTTTTCTTTATCTAATGTGTTAAATGATGTGCTCCAGGCTGATAAAATGTTCTAGACTTGCTTAAATTTTCTCCGAGAAATATTACTATAAGCTCCAGAAATTCTCTATAGTCATTGTGATTTTTGTAATTTTTTTTTCAGAGAATTGTAGTATTTTTTCTTCATCATTTTTTAATATATTTAAAATTGTGTCACTAGACTAAATGGAAAATATAGTTTTATTTATTTTCCCCCATTTATTAACAAAACTCTTAAAAAGTAGTATATCTGGACCAGACGACGGAACAAATTTTGCTTCAACAAAAACGACATCAAGTATTATTTCAACAACATGATGCCTGCATGCTAAGAACAGTATACTACTTTTTAATTTTTGCTTCAATAATACACAAGTGCCATTTGATAACAGAGTTAAACACTGTTGTGTCAAATACAAAGCCTTGAACTTTATATAATAATGCACATATTTCTAATTTAAAATTTTGTTTGCCAATTATTGTGGGTAAAATTTTAAATTCTCAATGCGCTAAAGAAAATTGTATGTTAAGTTCAAAAAACTACCACAAAATATAATTTTAAATGATAAAATATCAATATTACACTGCACTTATCGTATCAGGCATAATTAGTTAATGATTAGATATAAAAGTTAAAAGTCACCAAGTATAAACTCATTGCTGCATTAGTGTATTAGGGGCTTGTTTAATAGTTGAGGATCTTGGTCAAAACCAAGAATCGGAAGCTACCCAACGTCTGCCCAAATATCGTTCCTATCTCCTTAAATGAGTTTTAATTACCTGAATGAGACACAGGCAATCGTGTACCTTAGTTACAGGGGATAGATTATTAAATAAAAGTAGACTATTATTTTATGTCAACGACAAAGTAAAGTTATATTTTAGATATTCAGTAAATATAAGTTATATGTAATGTACAATACGTCTGACCTGAATCCTAGTAAAGTTGGTTAGTAGGTATATCCAAGCGAGACGGAGTTGGTTGGCTATGATGACAATTGGCGATAGACGGGTCGTTGAATAAAACAAGTAAGGTTATAAATAATATAAATAAGACGAAAGTAATAATATTGAAAACTATGTCTATAACGGCCACTCAAACACAACTGCCCTTTGTTAGTTCGACGTCAGTAGTTCCGGGCTACAGACTAGTATAATTGTCACATCAGCATCTCCCTCTATGCTAATTAATATGTATTACGAATTAAATAAATAGAAATAAAACGTGTGTAATATAAGCGATAAGAACATAGTAATAAATGTTCTTACAGGTGTAATGCAATTTTGTAGTAAGAGTAATCGCTGCTATCAGCTGATACTAATGACATTATGATAAATTATATACTTATGCAAAAAGTAATGCAATACGTAAAATTATTTAAATCAAAAGTGATTTCATAGGATTATGCGCGACTAAATGTAAATATATGTATAAATTTCGTGATAATAGAAAAACTATATAACTGACTATAATTTTACATAAGATTAATATTCTATAAAATATAATTTTATATATTTTTTATACGGAACATTTTGTTGTAAAGTGATTATTTTGAAGGTTACGAATGATTTATGTTAAAAATTTATGTTATGATTTATGTATTTCAATATGAAGGTAATTAATAATAATATAAAAATGCTTAGTTTTGCTTGCACATCAACGAGCGAGCGAGCCAGCGACCAAATTTTGAAGCTCTGAATTCAATGTAAAATTCAGAATTCTCTTGTCCAATTATTTTTTCTCAAACAAGCTTCTACCTCATGTCATTTTAATGTGATATTGGTGTATAATTAATTTGCGTCCAGACTTTATTTATTTATTAAAAAAAAAACATTATAAAATTTTCGTGTGTGCAAATTAGCGATTCAAGAAAAAGTGTCGTATTTAATTTTTGACTATCAACAATCTTTACGCAAACTATCTAAAAAACCGAGCATAGTGGGTTTGCGGTTCAGATGGGATGTGGCATACTTGTGTCAAGTATAGATGATATCTGACAGTGATTAAAATTACTATCATAAAAAACGCTTCGATGTAAATTTGTAAATAGTGTTTAATTTTCAAAAAAATGGTGGATTAGTCCAAAAGCTACATGATCTCCTATTTGGTGAACCATATCAATTAGAAATAATACATACATTTTTTCATATTCTTTACTATTACATTTTTTTTGTAAATAAACCTGTCATAAGTAAAGGGTAGTAGTAATCACTTTTATAATAACGAAGTTTATTTATAATTTCTTTCATTAAATTTAAAAATAACTATCATTTTATTCCTACTCATTGTAATTGCTTTGGTAATTTTTTGTAACATAAGTGTTCATTTTTAATGATAACTTAAAAAAAAAAAACTGAAACATAACGAAATTTGTATTTTATATAATAGATATCTTATAAATTTTTTATATAGTATACTCTATTTGAAAAACTTAGTGAGAACCAAAGTATAAGATGAGTTTCAAAGAGACCACCTGTGCATAATAATAACATTTTTTCAACCTAATTTTCGACAATTTTCTGGATCGTCTGACAATTTTAACCAATATTAAATTCGATACATTAAGACATAATAAATATTTAATAAAACCAATCAATTGATAGTGTACTAGGTGAAACATATCAATTAGGAATAATACATACATTTTTTCATATTCTTTACTATTACTTTTTTTTTTGTAAATAAACCTGTCACAAGTAAAGGGTAGTGATTACTATCGGAAATACACTTAAGAATATTCCGTGAAAAGGTCCAAGATTAATTAAAGAATAAAATGAGCATATCATTTTTTAATGATTAAAATCACTATCATAAGAAACGCTTCAATACAATTCTGAAGATAATGTTTAATTTTAAAAAATTATTGGATTATTCCAAAAGTAACATGATCTCCTATTATCCTTATTTATATTTTAATTACAAGTTTTATGATTTATTAGTGTAATATATGAATAAATAAATATATATATATGTTTATATATAAATATATAAAAGGAAATGGTTTTATATTATAAAAATGATTTCAAATGAATGAGGTATATAAATAGTATTTATCATAAAAAAATTGTATTGATCCATAATTTTTCAAATAGTTATAGTAGTATAAAGTTAAATAAAAACAATTTTATTACTAACTTTGATGTTAGTTTTCACTATGAAAACAAACAAAAGTCTAAAATATTTCTTTTTATATTAAAATATAGGTAAAGACATTTTACATCTATAAAAAAACAATTATATTGATTTGTTCATTTTTGAAAAAAATTATGACAGTTTTAAGTAAGGAAAATTGAAAGAATGTCGAAAATTAGCGATTTTTAAATTTGTAATTTTTTTGGAGATTTCTCTCATTTACGGGGGATGAGGGAAATTTTTTCAATTTTTGACGGTAATGTCTTCGACTACATACGATTTGTGATCTTTTGACGTATTGTTGTAAAAAATCGGTTAAGTAAGTACTGAGAAAAAGTAGTGAAAGAACAAAAAAAAAAAAAAATTTTAAATTTAAATAAAACACATTATAGTAAAATTAATACTTTCTCAACTTCGTATTGAAACTAAAAATAAAAATCAGTAATAATTTGAAACCAATTTTTTTAAATGTCATTACTAAACACAGAAATTTCAACTCTTGTCAATGACAAAACCCTGGAAAAACACAGATATTATTTAAAATCGATTTTCGAAGTCGTTCAATTCCTGGTGATCAATGAACTTTCATTTCGCGGATCCTATGACATTGATGAGAAAGCTGAACGTAGATTATTCATTAAACTTTTCGAGTTCGCATTGAAAAAAGACAGATTTTTAGTTGAATGCAACGAAACTATACCAAATAATGGAAAATACACGTCTCCAGAAATACAAAATGAAATCATTCAAATCATGGCGGAATCTGTTAGAGAATTAGTAGTTATTGATGTGATGAAATCTGATGTTCCATGGTTTACGCTTATGGAAGATGGGACCAAAGACAAAAACAACAGAGAAAACATAGCTATCGCTATTAGATACGTAAAGGAAGGAAAACCTCGAGAATCTTTACTCAATATTATCACAACCAAGGAATTGGACGCTAAAACATTTACCGAGAAAACTATTGAAACATTGCGTGAGAATAGCATCGATCTGTCACGTCTTCTGAGTCAATGCTATGATGGAGCTAATGTGATGAGTGGTAAAAAAGGAGGTGTCTCTGGTCTCTTGGAACAACACCTTAATCGTAAAATTCCTTACATACACTGCTTCAACCATCGTCTNTCTTAATCGTAAAATTCCTTACATACACTGCTTCAACCATCGTCTCCATCTCGTCGTTGTAAAAGCAGTGTTTGACAATGATTCTCTGAGGGACTTTTTCGACATGTGTGTGATGCTACATGAATTTTTTCACCATCCCAAAATTTCTTCTTT